CATCAGACCAAACCCTCTTTCCCCATTCCAAAGTAAACCCAACCCCGCCCTAATCCTTATCCCTTATCATTATCATAATCAGATCACGTCTCCAACCTCCCCTCCACTACCTCATCATTGGCTCGGGTGCAGTGGGCCGCCGCACTTACTATAGTATCAATCTTGTGGCTCCGCGGGCCTCTCCCAGCAAAAATAAAAATAAGAAAAGAACACCGGGAAACCAACGTCCTGCCTACCCTCCAGCTCATCTCAAGTGCGTATACGCACTTAACGTAGGTACGCGGATGGCATCGATACACACAGTACAGTAACCTTTTCCTTTTACCTGGTTTCCAGCACCCTTACCGTGGGAACAAATTTTCTCGATGTCTAGTTTCAGGACGCCAGGCAGCGGTGGGTTCCCGCAATCATGATTTTTGCACGGATTATCACTCGGCCCGAAATTCGCGCGAGGTGTTTTTTACTTATCGAGACGAAACGAACACATACGATCACATCGTTCGTTTATTTTTTCTCACTCTCCCGCGCTTGCCCACGAGGATCGATGGACCCAATATCTACCCTCCCGGCGAGTGATCCGTCATGAGTCCCTTTCTTCCTCCCTCTCCCCTCACAGCGCAGCACATCGATATCCCCACCCGCCAACCAGCCCACCAGCCCACCAGCCCACCATGTACGAGCCCCTCTTCCTTCCCCTCACTCTATCACTCACCTACTCGCCCACCGTATCCAGCCGGCCTCACCTTACCACATCGACCGACGGCAAGCATCACCTCCCCCACCACTCCCTCGGCCCTGATAAAACACATCTTCAAATAGGCAAAATACCTTTTTAATTCCTCCTCCTCAGAGTCCTCACATACGATGAGCTTCGCGCCGCGGCGCGGTAGTATGTAGGTATGGAACTATCCGGTCACAAGTTCAGCGCACCAGTGCAGTAGCTCGCTCACCCGGTTCGGTTTTCAGGGTCCGGCATACCATACATACATGTACTCTAGGTATGTAGCATAGGGTAGAGCCTTTTATTTTTTCTTTTTTTCTTTTTTCTTTTTTTTTTTTTTCTTTTTTTTTTTTGCACGCCGTCGTCAGCGCCCCAATCATTTGCTGGAATACAGAGAGCAGAGTGGCTAGCTAGGTAGGAAACCAAAAAAAGCACCACCACCCGATGGATGTTTCCATTGGCCACCGTTTTACAGAGGTAGCGGTGATCGACGCACATGTTTTGAGAGAGAGTGGTGGAGGTCGTGGAGGCCCGGGATAGCGGGAAACAAAAGGAATATGTGCAAGTATAGAGTAGTTAGAAATTTCGACATTTCGACAGCAGTCAGACAGGTAGAAAGTACTGTCTAGACTCTTGAGTGCGATATATCGTTTTCATGTAAAAAGCAACAAAACAGATTCGACTTTGATATCGTTCATTGCTTTCTTCTGCAAGTCGTCAAGAGTATCAAACATCTCTCTAATTATTCCAGCCATCCCGCCCACGTACTCTACCCCCATCCTCTATCTACATAGTCGATTGCGCATCGACACACACTTCACTTCACTTCACCACACTACACTTCCCCCAATGCACTCCCTCCCATCTGACATCTCCCCTCCCTCCTCAATCGTTGAACTAGTCCCTATCCGTCCTACTATATATATCCACCCTCGAAACGAAACGAAACGAAAGTAAAGTACTCTGCCATCGGCGCAAACTCTGAGCTCCTCCTCCCTCCTAACCGATTGACATGTATGATGGATGATGAATGGTAGCCTACCTACTCACACACAGGCCCCGTTTCGCATTGTACCCCCGGCACGACACGGATATGGACTGCCAATGAGTTGTCGGTTACACAGCGAGGGCGATCTCCATAATTATCTACTTGTACCTACGGTTGCACATCACATCAAGATATCGAATCAAACACCAGCAGGCAGGTACTCGCGTCAGGGAAAAAGAACCAGAACATGCAAGTGAGAAAGCAGGGATTATTTGTACGGAGTGGCGCTGAGCTGCCATACAAACTAGGCATTTGCATGTTCTGGTTCTTTATCCTAGACGCGAGTAGGTAGCAGTTAGAGAATCTGTAGAGAGTATCTACATAGCCAGTAGTCACAACGGCGCCTTGGTTCCCATCGATGGCCGTAAACTAAACCCCACGATGATGGTCAGGGGCCAACTACTCTGCAAAGTATAACTAAACCCCAACAAGCAGTAGAGTTACCCATCGTTATCACCCAAGTCTGTAAAGTATCGCCAACCCTACATCATCCTCCTCCTAGGCAGCACCGGCGTGGCGGCGGGCGGGGCGATCAACAGGGCGAGTAGAGCAGGGAACTAAAAGAAACAGTCTTCACCGACGGTATAGGAACAAGATTTGACGTAAAAAAACTCTTTTACCGGAGGAAAACTCCTCTTTTTTTCTCTATCACTCTTGCTAGATCCCGTCTCACCAAGAACCCGGGACGCGCCTCAACTAGAGTTAGCACCCCTCCCCAGTAACAGCCAACGATGCGTTGTCTCGAATCAGCTCCCGCCTTGGGGTAGGTAGTATTTTACCAGCGCATTTTTTTACATGGAGTAACAGCAGCCCTAGTGACATTCCCGGGTTGCGGGGAGGAGGGAGGGAGCGACGAGGGAGGAACAAGGGGCGAGTGATGCTCTAGAGCAAAAGAGAGTGAGAGGAGGGATTCTCCCCTCTCCTCCGCTATCAAAACCATCAATTCCGGGCCACCATGGGGGTTGTTCGTCGTCTCGTGTATTGTGCGGGCCGCTTAATTGCGCTAACCGAATACGGGTTGAAAGACTATTTAGCCAGTGATGTGGATTACATAATATGTATGAAGACGTGGTTCATCTTATGGCGAGTAACAACCTGCATCTACAGGCGATGATAGCAACCTAAAAGAGGGGGCTGGCTAGAGTTAGGAGTATTCAAAGAAATTCAGGGGAGAGGGGAAAAAAAAGAAAGAAAAATTCGAAAACACCATCTTACTGTATGTCCATCAACTCTGTGGCCCATGGTACTACTAAGGTATCACTATCGCCCTCTCCACGTAACCCTGACCTGAAAGCTCTGGATGTGTCAACATATGAGAAATACGTTTCTGCCGCGGCGGCGGAGATGTGTAGAATGCGGCATGTTTGAGTTTCTACTCCAGTTTCCTAAAACGAATCTCGGCAGCCCTTCCCCTCCACAGCAGTTGGCTCTTGCTTACCAAGAAGTCGCAATTTGTATTCGATTACCCATGATTATTTAGGCTTCAACACCTCGATGTCATGCAGAACTCGTAGGACCCCCCCCCCCCCCTCCTCTCTTCCAAGCATCTACTCTACCTACGTACTTCCTCATGTAACTCGTTGCTTTGAGGCGGAAGAGGGGTGAGAGAGGGGAAAATCTAAAATCTCACGATCATTTTCGCGGCACCGGTACGACTATCAAACGCAGTCTGCAAACGGGTACACGGCGTTGCCTTGTAGCAGGTTTCCACACAGCTAAGCAAACGGGTTTGAGTAAATAGCACAGGTGCATGGCCTGTTTGTCTCTCTACAACTCTGCTCAGGTAGAGTAAGCACGGGGGGTTTGGGGGAGGAACAAGCAGCACCCAATCCCCTGATATTGAGATGGTGATGGCGGGGAATGGCGATGCTGATGGTGTTGAGGTTCCGGAAACCTGCGCGCACGTGTTGGGTTGGTCGACGCTGAGGGTTCTCCCAGGGCCAGGGCTTATGCCTGCCGCGAATATGGATCGCCACCATCAAGCAATCCACAAATAACGAGTGGATATTTGTATGTGGGGATATGACTGGCGCTAGAATCCCGAACTCGGTTGGATTGAACGAGTTATGATAGAGGATTGCCACAATGCTTCAATCGAATTAAGATTTCAACACCGGCACGGATTGGGTCGATTCTGCCTGCAGTGCGGGAGCAGCACAACCCACCCACCTTGCTTCGAAATCCTTATTTCTACACGTATCCCAGCCAAACAACGGACGAGCCGCTCTTAGGGAAACTGGCGGTAGTGGTGGTAGTCGTGACTTCCTATGATCAAACTAACCCCCATTCTCCTGCCGCTGGAATCCAATGGCTGACAAATTAACGCATTTCCATTAAAATAATACTACCAAGTGCCTCTTTTCCTCGTCGTGTCACCCGCATGACGTGAAATGGAAAAAAAAGAACAAAAACGTTGTCTGCTATGATTCGATGGCTGTGCTAATGCTTTGATGTGCTGAAAAGCATAGAAGCAGTAGAATCAATAAAACTACATGATTTAAAAAAAAAAAAAAAAAAAAGTAGAAGCTTGAGGCTTGGCCGCATAAGTATGTCGAACTAGACCAATAAAATATATACCTCCCCAAGCAATTAAAGAGTAAGGTAACAAAAAAGAGCGGAAAAAGGAAAAACAAGAGGGGGTGAAATGTTGCCTCGATTGATAGAGTGTTAGGCTTGTTCACGGCAAAAGATATTCAGGTCGGACCGGCGGGGAAATCCCCCAATCCGTCGGCGTGTAGAGTGCTCTACATAATGCGGGACTTTAAACCTAACTATGTACCTTAATTCCCGAGCAATTTCTGGGGAGTGGTAGGCAACGCTGTTGTTAATCGTGGTCCTGTATCACAAAGCCGCTCGTCAATCGTTGTGGCAAGTATTGGATCCCCGTTGACATCGGACAAGGTACTAGGTACTTGTAGATCATCCCGACAAAAATCCGGAAGTCAACCTGGACCCTGCCCAGCTTCAAAACCGGACCGGAAGCTCAAAATTTTTCCGTGAGCTTGAAGGCTTTTTTTTCTCCCGGAAAAACATACGGGTGCTTCTGCTCCCCGTCATCACGCATGGATCATGACGAGGTGACGACCCATTCTGAGATCAACCACAGTGCACAGAAATATCAATCAGGACCTCCATGTAAGATCTTCGGATCCACGGAAGGTCTCGGTTAGATGTTTTTCGAACAACGAGCCCATGCGCGATCCAACCGTACCAAACGCTTAGGCCGATTAAATGCTTGCCGGGACTCGACTGCTCAGCCTGCACGTTACCGGTTTGTGTAGACCAGTGAGCTGTCGGGCTGTAGATCTGTTCATTGGTTGGTTACCCACAAAGAAATTAGAACACGACGAAGCGAGGCTGCTCAATTGGCTTATACCGATTTACCAGTTGATCACTTGGGCTGGTTGTACATCAGCAGGAGCAGCGTACAAGTACGATACCTACTTTGTCAGTCGATCATGGAAGCTCTATTCAGGCCGCCGGACTGGCTTTTAGAGGGGGTAAGTCACGCGTCATTATTACTCTAGGTGTTTCATGATTTCCGTGCATTTCAAATTGTTGAATTTGATGGCGTCTGCAGAGGAACATTCCCCAGGTTTCTGTAGGGTGAGGTGGTGGTGCACAGAAGCAACCCCGTAGAGTAGGTAGGTAGCTGACTGACTTCATGTAGGTAACGTATGAGTATGTAGAGTAGGAATTCTACATAGGTACATGTAGTTTTCTCCACCGCAAGTTAGCTATGGGAGGGGATATACTTGAATACCGAAGATATGCGGAGGGGTCGAGGGATAGATGACAGGCCCCAGGTAGAGCAAGAGCAAAGATCCCAGAGTGGAGAGTAATCGATGGCTGGAACCTCCTGAGTGATGAGATATACCCAATTGGAGAGCTCCATGATACCAGAGTGATAACCCATGATACGGGAGAGCTACTCGCTACCCTGCCGGGACTTGGAATACGCCAAGGATGAGACATTCGCGGTGCCACAGCAGTCGCGTCTCCCCAACGTCAGGCCATCGTCTACCGTGTAAAGTGACTGCGCGTAGCTCGTCCAATTCACCTCTCATTATTCACCACCATCGATATCTGGGTCAGCCAGAAACACAACGATCTCTTCGCACCCCCTCCCTGCCAGTAGCCAAAGATGCCGTCCGCTCCCAACTCAAAGCGCATCAAGGTACCCTCTAGATTTTCAGATATTCGTCGCCGGGTTCGATTTCTTTTGTCCTTTTCTTTACTTCCCCTCCCCTCCCCTCCCCTCTCCCCCACGGCTCCCCTTCCCCTCTCTCCTCCTCATACGATACGTGCCCCATAAGAAAGCACACATTCTCACTGATTGTGCGCGGGGGAATTTCCCTGCAGCTTTAGATGTAATTTAGGGGGTCTCTATCTATCGTCCATTTGGTACATACTCAATAAAAATCTATAAACCTTGCGCTACCTTTTACGGCTCGTTAACATACATGTGATTTTCCACCAGTCTATGGCTCCATCGCAACCCCCGTGAACCCGGACAAGAAGCCGCCGAATCTCCCGCCGGACCACACGCACCAATGGACCGTCTCTGTCAGGGGCGTCGGCGAGAACGATATATCACACTTTATAAAAAAGGTGCAGTTCAAGCTTCACGATACCTATGCCAATCCCCTCCGGAGTCAGTAGTTCACCAGCGCTCTCTTTTTTCTTTTCCCTTCTCTGCGCACAATTATGCTGACACAGCAGCATACACTCCAGTGATCGAATCCCCACCCTTCGAGGTGTCCGAAACCGGCTGGGGAGAGTTCGAGATCCAGATCAAGATCTTCTTCGTCCCGGAATGCACGGAAAAGGCGCAAACGCTCTTCCACTTCCTCAAGCTGCACCCATACATCGGTGACAAGGCCGAGCTCGAGCTTTCCAGGACGCAGCGCAGGCCCGTTCAGGCCTTCATCTACGATGAGATCATCTTCAACGAGCCAACAGAGGCCATGTACGACCTCCTCACAAGCCGCGGCTCAGCACTCATCCCGCCCCGGGCTCGAAATGGAAGGGGATGGGAGTTCACGGAGGAGTCAGAGGCCAGCGAGCTGGATCGCCTGACGGAGGGTATCAAGGTCGTCCAGGAGCATATCAAGAAGGCGAAGGAGACGCTTCTGGAGAAGGAGCGGCAGGTGGCGCAAATCAAAGCGCAGTTGGAAAAGAAATGATTTTCTGTCTGGCTGGTCTTTCTTGTCTTGCGTATCCCTTATTTTTTTTGCGAAATGATCTTTGTAGCAAAAGCCTGTTATCGTTATCGCCCCTGATTTTGCTTCTGGTTTTTTTTTTTGGTTTCTTGATTTTTCTCTCGTCTCCGATTTACAATTAATTTTCCACCTCGGGGAAACGGGATGAGGTCTTAAGAAAAACAAAAACAAGTTCCGAGAAGGAGTGGAAACGAATATTAATAGTTGGAGGGTGTGGTGCATCGCAGTTACTATTTCAGGGCGATAGTCCAATTTGTATTACTACCGTGAGATAAGAGCTCGACCCAAGGCGGTTATTCATCTCAGTTTCTGCCCTATATACCAGGAATTTACCACATGTTACCTTCCCCCAGGCAGATCGAAACGTCAGAAAGAACAAGAAGGGGTAGGTAAGTCGAGACATCCCAAAAAAGGAATGAATATCCAGAACCAGACCACACCCGGAAGCTTTTTAAGCCTCACACCACATCCCCGTATCTGAATAAGAAAATAAAACAAAAAAGCAATTCCAATTCTTTTTTATGTACGGAAAGATTAGATATACATGTTTTTTTCTTTTTCTTTCTCTTTTTTCTTTTCTTCCTCCAGAGCCGCGGGCCCGAGTCCATCTGGTTCACCGGAAAACTATTCGACCTTGGTCCTCAATTGAACACCATGCCATCCTTTGATTTCCTCACTCAGGACCTCCTGGACCAGCCTATGCTGCTTTACCACGGGTAGACCCTTGAAACTCCGCGACGCGATCTCGATGGCATACATTGAGCCGCAGCCGCCGGAAACATCTTGAACCTATATAAGTGGGGTCTTAACGTTTTACGTAAATGATAATTAGTATTAGGGAGGGAGGGGAGTAGGGGAAGTGGGGAGTTATTGTGAAGTTGGTATGGGGTATGAGTGAGTTGGTATCAATGCAATTGCAATTGCACAGAGTGTGGAATGATGAATGTGGTGTGGGACGGTATGGTACGGTATGCTTTGTGCGAGCGAGAGAGACAGGAAATCAACCAATATCTGATATCCTACGCACCTCTAGCCTGGAAGGTGACAACTCTGTTACGAGTTTATTGAAGATGTGCAGCTCCTTTGGATCGAGATGATCCGGAGGGGCCAGAGCGGGAGATCTGGACGCCGATGTCGTGGAGAAGGGGGAAGAACGCGGGGATTGCGGGGATGCTGCCCCTTCTCTTGCTAAGATCCCGGCTGGTCCTGTTCCCACATTCCGATTGTTGAGTGAGAGGAGAAGGTGTTGCTGAAGTCGATGATGATGGTGCTGCTGCTGTTGTGTGCTGTTAAACAAGGGCCGTGCGTAGGAAAAGTTCCTGACAGTGGCAGAAGAGGGACGGCGGAACATGGCGCAGGTGATAAGGGAAGGGTGTGGTGGTTGTAGTTGAGGGGTGGTGGGTAGGTAGGGGTGGGCGACAGTTACGGTTGTGGTGATTATGGGTGGTGGTTATGGTAGTGGTGGTGATGGTAAACCCTTCCACTTCCTCGGCCTCCCACCAGACTACTTCCAGCAGCCCTCACTCCCCTCAATCAATCGCTCTCCCAGCCAACCCGTGCACGAAGCCAGACACGCACATACATATTGTACCTACAACTCTACATACACCCACGCACATACGCACACTTCAGGAGCATGAATTGGGAGAGGTGTGGTTACAGCACAGCGCTAATCAGTTACTCGCTCAGTCAGACAATCACTCAATCGTTAATCTATCTACATGTATGTAGATAGACACTCGTGGTACTTGTGGTACTTCTGGCACTGGAGAGAGTTTATGTGGTAGTGGTGGTGGTGGTGGTGGTGTGGTGTGTGCGTACCGTGGTGGGGTCGAGGGGCAGAGGGGAAGCAGGGCAGTAGACTATTCCTCTCTGGTACATACGAGTACTCTATATCCTTGCACCAGTGTGCGCTAGCACTCACACTCTCTCACTCACACTCGACTTTCACGCCCTCGGCGTCGGAGAAACAATTAATACAACGGCGACACAGAGGGACCCCGTGGTCGGGGAAACTAGGTAATATACATTATAATTTAAAGAGAGGATCCGCTGGGACGAAATAAAATACAAGATAGCGTGCATATGCCATACCTACATGTACATACGTCCTACATGGATGAGTGACATTGGGGGGGTTCAAAAGGGCGCAGAGTACAATACTGTAAGTAAAATACTATAGCATAACACATCTTTCTGGACAGAAAAAAGAGTACTTGCATAAATGTACTCGTATACCCTACTTACTCTACTCTGTAGTTCAGTTGCACTGCACTGCACTGTGCAATACGAGTATGCTAAAGTATACTTTAGCATATGTCAAAGCTAATGCCGATGCTAATGCGAATGCCATGCACCGTAAGTCTTCTGTTTCCTTTTCTTGTTCTCTACATACCGGTGGTACACACCTACATCATATAGATATTCAGCTAGACAGACAGCAGTCGCTCATCTCCCCACTGGTTCACTACACTACTAGTAGCGTACCTAAGCAAATATGTACCTACTTACCTCCATCTGCATACCAAACCTTGAGTGGATCTGTCAATAAACTACGCAAATCAATCACTCAGCTAACCCGCCACCCATTCTGCGTCTCTCCAGGTATATAATTAATATTAGGACAGAAGTAATAATAATAAGATGTACAATCTATACCGACCTCTACTATTATCCACACCCACCATTAACTACCACCACCACAACTAATAACCCCCCCCCCCCCCTCTCTAAATCTAGACCCCTACCAACTAACGCACGGAAAAACACGACAGCTGAAACCTGACTGATTGACGATAGATATGTAGAAAAATCTAGACACGAAAAGGCAAATCAAAGCCAAACGGGCTAACTGTGCGACTGCCTCGTCGAAATCTTGCTCGCCGGTCCCTCACCCCCCATGTCTTCCCCGCAAATGGCGTATGTGGTGAAAGTGCGAGTGAGAAAAGGAGGATGGCAAGCAAGCGAGATTACTACATACTTGCTTACCCCAGTACCTTGAAGGGCTCGTCCCAGAAGCATGTCTGGATCTCCAAAGTGCAGAATGAAACTAAGGCGGAATCGAGTATCATAACTTGCAGTGTTATCTGTTCTGGACACCCCATCATCCCTGGCCCTAGATAGAGATACCCGACAAACAAAACAGAATCGATATTCGTCACGCATCACCCGATTGTAGTAGTGGCGATTACTGTTGCTATGTCTACTCATGTAGCCATGTTGCTGTAACCAGAAAAACGTGCTCGTAATGTTTGAGGTATACTAACAGAACGGTTCAGTTACTGAATATTAGTTACTACTTGCAGTTGCTTTTGTCTAGCAAGTATGCTCTGTTCAGTCATTGATAACTCATTCATTCCATCGCTACTATAACGCTTTTGGTGTGGTGCCACTGTACTGCCCAGCGAAATCAGTCAGTTCATCTTATCCGCCGCCTTGAAATCCTCACGCCATCACTGCTTCCCTCGATCTCACCCTCAACCACTCTCCCCACCAATTTACCCAGCCTGTCGGGCGAAACATCTCCTTCAGTGAAAAGGAACATGAAGATATTAAGAAGGGGTTGTCCGGAATTACGAGTGCAGCCGGCATAAACACACTAGACTCCTTTTCTTTTACCGTGATATATTCACCGAACGGAAACAAAATAGTAACGGTTATGTGAGTATTTTATTCGCCAAAGAATATGTATGTAGTTATGCCTTAAATCGATAAGAATCCCATTTGAATCCGTTATAGGAAAAAAAACCCGTGCCAATTTGAAGTGACAAGACAAAAAAAAACCTGGTGTTCTCATTTTTTTGTTTCCCCACCCAACCCCACCCCCCCCCCCCCCCCCAAAATCCCCAATCCCTATTCAACCAGCTAAAAACTAAGAGAAAAGAACCCGAATCCCCGATAGAGAAAGGAGAGCCCATAGGAAACAAGAACAAAGAAAGCAATCGCAAAAACACGTAAAGCATAAGCAAACATAGACAACATAAACAAGCAAGAGTTAATAGAAAGCAATCAAACGCACGCTCTAATGATAAAACAACTTTGGCGGAACCCCCCCCCCCCACAGTAATGAAACAAACGGAGTATGAACTAACAAATGAAAGTTGGAGGGGTTCAAAGTGAAGGTGCGAAGATAAGTCTCCTGCCCCAATGCCGCATTAAAACGGCTCCCATTTTTCGAACGCTCGAGCAATGCTAAGTCCAGAAATCCTGCGACCGCTGAAAACAAAAAAAAAAACAAATCCTAAAGTGCCCACGCAAAAATGAGAACGAAAAAGATAAAAGGAAAAAAGATACTAGAAACACAAAGCCCCTTCTTCCTGGTTGGAATTCGTAAGTCATCGAATGTTTCCGTCACCCGAAGATGAGAGCAAAAGTAGAAGAGAATAAAAAACACTGCATGAATCAGAAGCCAAACAGTCAACACCAAAGAGAAACAATGCGAAAGGAAAAATAGAAAAAAGAAAAAGGGGAAGAAAAAAAAAAGAGCTCGAGCGATTTAACGCCTTGCGAGTGTATAGTTCCATGAGCCATAAAGAATTCGCATCCTTCTCACTCCCAATAACCGTCCATGTATCCCTTTTGTGCGCAGAATGGTCCGCCAAAGTCGGTCCAGGTCTGGCGGATAAAAAAAAATCCACTATCCTTCGTGCGATGCCAATACCCCCCCCCCCCTCAATCCTCAACCTGTACCCAAACCAAATAAAGAAATCCGAATATCGTCCTCCATCCAAGTTGAAATGAAATGAAACTCAAGTGAATTTAGCTCCCCGTCCCTTTTTAGTTCCACCCGGTTGGTCAACGACATATTCAACAAATAGCAGTAGGTGCTTGCTGAGCATCAAATCTGAATGCTCCGGAAGCTCTCCTGCGATGGTGATATCCCGCATAGTTCAATGGTATCGGAGACGCGGTACCTGATGAAGTCCTCAAAAACGAACTGGCTGGCGAGCCTTCCAAAGGAGATGGTGTATATCTGGGGTTTAGATCAGACTCCTTCACGATCCTTGGCTCTGCTGTAGTACTAAAGATGGCCCCAGAAAAAAGGCTCTGGTTTCCCGGTGCCGAATCCTGGGACTTTTTTTCCCCAACCTCACTATCCGACATCTGCGGCGATGCCTTCGCTGATCCAAACTAAAAATCCATTAGTGTGACGAAGGTTAATATTTTGTATCGGTAACACTTACGAAACAGTAGTTGTCAAGAAGCTCGCGGTACGATGATGACTCAATTGAAGGCTTCTCTCCAACAAATGCACTCGGCTGAAACACCTCAGGTGCACCGGCCCCGACAGTGGTTGGGCTCTCGATGGGAGTCGAGGTATTCTTATCGGGTGACGCATTCCTCAAGGCACGAGCGGCAACAACGGGAGTCTTCGCAATGCGGACTTCCGAAACTCTGGGCTCAGTAACCTCAAGAACGGCACTTCCAAACTTGAAGTACGGGCTCTCTTGTGAGTTCTTATCAGACTTATCAGTCTTGATTCCCAACCCACTTCGCTTAGGACCGACGACCAGATTGGCAGCCTTGATGGCGGCGTTCAAAGAAGCACCAAAGTCATAACGGTTACCGAAAGCGTTGCCGGACGGATTTGCTCGACGCGCCAGCGACTCAGTGGTATCGGTAATGCTTTCGAGTGACTTCTTTGGAAGTAGGGGAATCGGAATGTCATCTGAATCCTTCGAGAAGAAAGCACCATCATAGCCTTCAAGCTCGTCAAAGTTGGGCATCGACTTGGGTCGAGGGGCGTTCGAGGGCTTGGATCGAGGCAGGGCAACTCTGGCACCACCGTTCTTTCCATTTTGGGGCTTTGCCTTCTTGCTAAAGTTGACCTGGAAGTTAATGCCATTGTTGTTGTCCCAAAATTCTTGGCCGGCAACGTTATACCGTACACAGAATAATAGAAGCTTCCGTTCCAAGTTGACCTGATCGACAAGTTTGATGTTGAAGATGAATCGGTCAACACCTTCCTCCCTTTTCTTCTTCCTGACGTCACTGTTGAATTCCGCAATAACCTCCGAAACTGTTTCCCAATGATCCAAAGTAAACCGAACGACGACAGACTTCTGGAAGGACATGTTGTTGACAGCCACCGTACCGATCAGGTTCTTGTTATCGTTGGATAGGCATACTCTCTCCACTCTGACAGGCAAGTTCTTTCGTGCATCCATATCTTTAGGGAAGTTTGGTAGGTTAATCTCCCACTCAAAAGGCGGTTCCCGAGATCGGAAAGCCTCCTCGTGAGGAAATGGGAATTCTCTTTCGCCATCAAAAGATTCTACTGGTGATGAGCCAGCACTGACAGCCGAAGGTTTCTCCTGGTGTAGGAAATGCCTGACATGCTCAAGGTGAGCATCGAAATGCACTGCCTTAGGGAAGGTCGGGGTCGATGGCATAGATACCGGCCGTGATCGGTTTGGGGTTTTCAGTGACGACTTGACAACTTCACCGCTCTTCTTGCGTACCATGGGCGGTGCCATCCGGTAGCCATCGTCCTCGTAATCGCTATCACTGTTTGAGTCCGGTCTGAGACCGTAATCGTTCAGTAATGTCGACTCCGAGATCGACCTCTGGTGTCTTCCACGCTTGCTCTCCCCGTCTGAAGGTGACATTGGCTTTATTGAAGAATCCGGTGACGGTGCCCGTCGTTGGGGGATGTTCTTGATTGCCTCCTTCAGCTGCTCCTCAAGGTTTCCAAGGTTGCGACCTCTCCTCTTACCACGGCCCATGACATCGTCCTCATCGCTTGAGTTCTGAGAAGAATCTGGAGGTGACAAGACCGCTCCTGTGGGAATCAATAAACCATTGTCTATTGGCGGCGGCGTCTGGTGAATGCTGTTGGCGGTTCGGGAGTTGACGTTCCTGTGGTGTAATGTTGACCTTTCCGGGTGTCCGTTTGAAGGAGGAGGTGAGCCTAATGTGGCATTCATCTGAGGAGTCCGTCGGTGCTTGTGTAGGTATGTAGCTGACTTTGGAGGGTTACTTGAGTTCAACAGGGCCGTCGTTGTTGTGTATGATGATGAGGTGACATCGTGGATTGATATCGAAGAGGACCTGCTGGCGATGGGGGAGGTGCAGGGAGACTGGCTGGGGGGTGTGTATGGCATTCGTACAACTGTTGTATGAACCTTTCCTAGTTGAAGGGATATATGGTACTAGTGGTCCGTGAGGAGGAGGGAGGACTCGAGGTATATGTAGTAGTGTAGGTGGGTTGCCAGGAAATTCGTCGAGAAGTTTCGTCTGGACTGTATTGTCGTAGACAATAAATAAAAAAGGGCGAGACCGTTTTTTTTTATGGGGAGAAAAAATTATGAGGGAGAGAAAAAAAAAAGAAAAAAACTCTTGAACAGGGAAATATTAGAAGTTATAAGCCTGAACGCAACTCCAGTCTATAGTCAGCGCACGGCCAGCAATGACAACTGCGGGGAAATGTGAGTGGATAATTGGGTACATGAAGGAGGGTGATATATAAAACAACTGGCTGGATCGAAGTAAGTACTCACGCACTGATGATGCAAGCCGGCGTCGACTGCCGGAGGGGAGGCGATATCAAATCCGAGAGCGATCGAGATTCCGGGCCTACTATGGCTCACGGAAAATCTACGTATCTATGTAGATGAGATGCACACTCCGATGAGAGGAACAGGTCGTGGTGAAGTAAATCGTCACGACTTTGAGACCGTTCAGTTTTAGTTGAACGGGATTTTGGGAGGGAGGAGAGGTGGGAGAAGTGGCGGATATATTTTGATAATGGAGGGTGAGAGGGAGGGGGGTGAGAGAGAGATAATGGGATCACTCTTTTGGGGGCTCTGCACAGAGAAACTGGAGAGCAGAGCAATTGGAGGGGAGGACCCAGAGGATATGTAGTTGGCGAGCTAGGGCCTTTCACGGGAGAGAGATACAGTATTGTAGTTATGGGTGGGTAAGGTATGGCAAGGCAAGGAAGGACTAGGGACGACCAGGTAGGCAGGGCAGGGGTGTGGGCGGGAGAGAATTGGCCAGGATAGAACACACAGAAAGAGAGAGAGAGGCTAAGATAGATAGGACTTCTACCTTGTTCTCTCTCTCGTTTTAGAGGGGGACAAGAAACGAGAATAAGTAGAATAATAGATACAAGGAAGGAAGGAAGAGCAGATAGAAAGTCCCTAAAGAAAAGGGAAACTCAGGCGAGTAGAATTCCAAAGAGGAAAGAAAAGAAAAAATGGTATCAAAAATACCTAAAGTAGGGATATAAAAAAGGAAAGAAAAAAAAGAAAAGGGCCGTTCGCCGCGGTTCATGATGGGAGCAGCATGGCCCGGACACGGATGGGTAAGCCTCCCTCGCCATTTACAGCTGGCTCTGCTTCTTGCTGCTTGCTGCTTGCTGCTGCTGCTGTTGATGGATGTGTGGTTGTCCTGCTTCTTACTTTACTGTGCATCAGAGACCGTATGTAGCTTTCTTGGACAGCCCACACCATACCTTACTACCTTACCCAGACCTTTACAACCTCCCACACCCTCACTTACGGCCACCCCCTCTAAAACCAATCCAAATCCCTCCCCCTTTGCGACAGCAGCAAATCCACGTTGCTGGCTGCTCTAGCTCCACTCTCAACGAGGAACGTCGCCGCCGTCGTCGCTCACTGATCTGCTGTGTTCCCAACACTTCCCTAATTTTGTATCAGTATTCTCCTACTTCTATCTAGCTGCTTGTTTGAAACTACTAATGGTATTCATGGTCTATTATTACTATTGTCGTTTCGTCTTGGCCCTCCTCCTCCGCTACAACACCCCCCCTCCCTCTCTTTTCCCCCCCAATCATCCCGGGTCCTTGAGATATAACATGCTTTACGTCGTACCTTAGACATGCCCACCAAAAAAAATCTCTCTGCCCTAAACTTTATTACCGTCGAGCGCAATCTGGCTTCAATCCCGAGATTCAAGACCAAGCTTCTTAGAACTGGAATGAAATTATCTTAATACCGGTTCGCCAGATCCAACCTGAGTGACAGCATGTGTAAAAAAAAAAAAAAACAAGCCCCCACCCACACGCCTGTCTGCCCCTTTGCCCCCTTTGCTTCCGCTAACTAGGTGTACCTACCGTCATATCCGTTTCCGTATCTTTCCTTCAAATTCATATCCCCCACCCACACTTTCAAAATTTCCTTCGAGCCCAGCTACGCGATGGACCGAAGAGAGAAATTATTATCTAAATTCCCTATTCCCCTGTGTATGGCAATTCGAGATGGAGGGTAAGAGAGCTACAGCAAGGATCATATGTGCCGTATCCATGTAAACGGTCGCTGTGTTGTGTGTGTCCTTTTTTTTTTTTTTTTTTTCCGTTCCTCTCAATTCACATCTCAACCTCGCCTGTCGCCAGCCACACTTACTTGCAATTGTTCTGAGCCAGGCGAAAAGATCATCGCCTTCCCCCTACCTACCACCTCGCCCTTCAATCTTGCTTCCAAGGAAAGCCTGCTGCATGCAGGCAGTCGATGCGCAGGTGAGACACATGCCAGAAACGCTCTATCTTTTCCCACGAGTTTTTTTTTTAATGGTGGCCCCATGTGTCTCTCTATTTCGCTCTCTCTCATTCTCACTCAATTCAAATCTCGCTATTTTCATACCGTGCCATTTCCTATCTGATGGCTGCTTTGGTCCTGATTGGTTCCCTGGAATTCCTGATGCCTGTATCCTCTGCGGTAGCGGTAGCGGTTGCGGTTACAGGTTGAAAATCTTCTGGTAACAGTAGATTTCGGTTTCAGTCTCTTTCACCTGGGCCCTAGAAGTAGAACATGCTACACAGTACGAAGGAGGAGGCGTGCATAGACTGCTCTATGAGAGGTCAATGCGTCTGTTGTTTCTACTGCGCACAACGGCCTTCCGCCGTTTCGCGGAAGCAGTAGGATGGCCGTCGTCGTGATAGAGAATGCACACTCCGATATGGGTCTAAAAACGGGCTCATCGAGCCGGCCTGAATCCGGAAAAATTACCTACATACATACTCTTCTCCAAGTATTTTTAAATTTCTCTGGTTGGATGGCTATTTCATTTCGGTCCCCTTTTTTCTTTCTTTTTTTTTTGCTTTTCGACCTTACCCTTCCTCATCGCTAGAAAGGCACAGGATATCGAAAGCGTAAATCATTGACATCTCGCCCAATCACGGAACAGAGTAATACGCATTTTCTACTTTTGCGACTTCGATTTCCGCAAAGGAATAGGTGCTTGCACTCAAGGAGGCAACCCGGTAGGGGCGTTAGAGACGGAGAAGGAAAGAAAGTTCGCTGAAGCAATGAGCTGAAGGGTTGGAATTCGAATTGTCCTGATCAATCGCGAGAGTCGGTCGTCTTGGGAATATCTAATGTCGTCTGTCGCCCGTTTCCGGAGCAATCACCATCCGTATGGGAAATCCCTGGAGCTACATATGGAGTCACCTTTTTTAGTGTTGACGTGGGGTTTTTTGTTCAAGGAATCCTCCGCGGCTGCCCGTTGCACAAAAACCTACTATTGCCTGCCTGCCTGCCTACCTCACTTTCCCAGCTACTTTTTTCGCTGCCTGCTTTGCTTTCTGCTGCGTACTCTACCCTACCCTACACCACACCCTTCCGGGTTGATTGCAGGGGTGACACATATGAAAGATAGTGAGCAAATGGCAGCCGTTGGTCACTGCGAGACGCCCCATCAGCCATCAGCCGCATACGCATACTCTTACAAGATTTCGCCTTGGAAAAACCGAAAATAAGATAGATCTTAATGAGATGGTGGAGGGGGTGAGGGTGACAAAACTTTTTTTCCCTCTTGAAATGTTTTATTCTAGCTTCTCTGAGTAGTATGCGTGTATGTACTCAGATCAATGAGTACGAGTTTAAATACGGATGCGCTCAATTCCGGGGGCGGAGAACGCACAGCCGTAAGATCGGAGGGAGAGCTACTGCTGGACACCCACCTGTACACTACATGAGTTGAGTACATACATGTATTTCATGTATATCGTAGGTCGGTGGTATGTAGGTGTATGTATGTATGCCTATCCACCGCCGCTGTACGGACACTGTACACCGTAATCGACAACCCACAATAATATTGAATTAAAAGTAAGGCAACGTACGGTAATGATGGTAGGGTAGTGTAGGTAGGCAACAGGTTTCTCCGGAGACATATTCACCAGCGGTTGCTGCTGCTGTTGCTGCTGCACGACATTTCGGCATGATGGTGTAGGAACAATTAGGTATGAGGTATGCCATGTACTCCAGAATTTCGGCCGAGCCGCGCCAGGGCTTGAATTTCGCAATCAATTAAATAGTGGGATGGGGCCATAGGAGAGGTTAATGTTGCGTCGTCCGTCGGGCTGGGCACGTACGTCTGTTAATACAACTGGTAGGTCTGTTCTGTCTATGATCCGGGGGTGGGACTGCAAGAACACGGACCGCGCGGCAACGTCTGGACTGTCCCTGGGCGCGAATTGGAGTTGAAAGGAAGGGGCCGCTGGCTCACGACCGATGACGAAATGGCAGCATTCTGATACAAGCAAGCAAGCAAGCGCATTATTTAGTTGGTTTTACGGATCTGGATTGGTCTGTAGTGGCTAGCCAAGTCTAGTGGGTTAGCCACTTCTGGGTACCAATGATCGATTAACCATCAACCAACCAAATCACGATGTGTAACAGTCTGTCAGTACGGGGGGGGGTGCCACAAAGGTGTCATCGCTCTAGCTACATTTAGACTACTTCTTACTCTTACTTGACTCTACTTGTTTACCACGAAAAGAACCAGTTGCTCAGGGCAAGGATTATTTGTATGGAGTGGCGGTGATCTCTCATACAAACTATCCCTGTTTCCGTCACTTAGTTCTTTTCGTGGTAAACGAGTACTTACTCTTCGCTTTCGACCGCCCCCGGTGGCTCCCCTTAGTTGATTCATTATCCAGTAGCTAGTTTACTCCTGCGCCACC